AAGACAACATAGCAGTACTGTATATTATGCATTGTCAGAGGAGCTTTGGCCGATAGGTGTTGTGCCTTTCGACAACTGCAGCAGCTCCACCAGCACTCGTGAGATGCAGTCTAAAATCACCCTTGCTCGTGCCACCGCCGAGCACTGCAGTGCACTCTTCAGTGCAGGGGCCACTGAGGTTTGTTTGTTTCGATGCAGTGAACCACTCAGCTAGCTGGTGGTTAGGAGGGTTAGGAGGGTTCGGAGGAAGCGATGTCTAAGGAGGTCCAGTTCTTCCATATTCTTGGCGAGTTTTGAGGGAGTCGTTCATAGTCGCGGCGCAGGGAGTTTCCAAGCGCCAGTCATCACTCCGTCTCCGACTCTCCTGAAAAACACACTATGTAAATGGAAGGTATCCAGGTATGGCCCCTGGTCATTGTTTATATACCCCATGGATCTTAACGGGATATGACCCATGACCAGTAACAGGTGGAGAGGCCGTTACGAAGCTCTAGACATACCAAGAGTTGCCGCGCGTCGCAGCGTCTCGCGAAGGCGCCAAACACATCTTTGCCATTGGCCACGTGGACGCACGGGCTGCGGAGCAGGAGGCTTCGTGGTGGTTCTCAGCCTTCCCAATGAGATGTGAAGAAGACATGCGGTTCCTATATGAGCAGTTGCATGAAGCACCTTGCCTTGATGCACCTGCATCAAGCACCTGAAAGCACCACCCCCAAGAACAGCATGCGTACATGGCGTCCAAACGACGAGTGTCCGAAGTCTGCCCCGGAGTCTCCCGAATCTGAGTCTGATGGGTCTCGTCTGCCGAGTCTCCTGGGATCCTTCGATCTCTTGAGGAGCGAACCGACCACCGGAACCGATCAGATCGATTCATTGGCGGTCAGGGCGAGACGCATGAGTAAGAGTCGGTGCGGGACCATGCCAGGGGGGCACCGTGCTTGAAAAAAACACTTGTGGCGACGGTGTCTTGCAGGTCCTGGCATCCGCTCAGGAAGTACTTTCAAATGATTTTACAAATGGGCAATGGGTTGTCCCTTTTCTTCATGTTGCTTCCAATTATAGCCTTTCCAGAGATGACATACTCACTCCCTGGCCTTGCAAGATCATTGTTTAACTGGTCCACCTGGTTTTGTAAATAACAGTGACTGTTCGATAGACACCATTATATAAATCAACGACGGTTGGAATCCTAGGGATACCACTTACCGCCAGGGCCGCAGAGCAAGACTTCGTCTCAAAACAAACGCGACGGAGCAGGCACGTTGGACATCATGCCGGGCATCCGTCGCCAACACCATCACCCATGATCCAAAGTCTCTATCATTATATAAAGCCTCACATCAAACGTCGAGATGGTAAAACACCCACAGGTGATTGCTCATCACACAAATCGAGACCCCAGAGGTGATAGGCATTCTGTTAAAGGTCTCTATCTTTATACCACTGGCGCCAGAGTTCAGGCTGTGGCCAGACTTGTCCAGTCCACGGGCCTGCTCTTTGCGTCCAGGAGTTTGTTGGTCTGTTTGTTTGTCAGGTTTGGTTGAGGTTTGTTTTGGTTGTCTATTTCTTTTCCTTCACCCCTTGAAAGGAGTCAACATCCACCGACCGATCCACAGATCAATCGTGGACGACCTCGACCGAAGAGGCCCGACCCGACTCGCGCCTCTTTTCGCCGTCTGCCGCGTTTCAGCGGCCGAGGCGACTGGGGTGGAATGGACGGATCGTTGAGCCCCTGCTGCGGCCGACCTCGCCACTTGGCACGGTCCGACCGACCGACCACCTGGGCGTTCTCACGAAGTCATGCCGGGGCAGGGCGTTCTGGGACGGGTTTGAGGGCGAAGAAGTCGCCCGGTGTGAAGAAAAGGCACCTTTTGTGTCGGTCAATATGCCATAACATGGAACACGGATTGCTTGAGCGGGAGAGTGTTCTTTTGGCTGTGTGAGCCTGAGCTGAATGAGGTACTGAAGTAGTCAATTGCCAAGAATTTTCTGGATTCGAAGCTCGCCGGTGTTGATGCAAAAAAAAGTCATGAATGAGGATGTTTGCATGCTCAGCTGGGTTGGTCTGAACTCACAAGGCAAATTCATAAGTGAAGAGAACCAAAGGAATACCATTCATGCAGGAGACTCGATACCGTAGTGACTAAACTAGACCCAGAAGGAACATCATTGGGCCGTTGTTGAGTGAGCGCCATGTTTCCGCCCCTTCGGTCGACCAACGAGCGGACGTTGAGCTACCTCCCCCCAAAAAGGACTCCCTGCACTAACCCGGACTCCTTGGACTCTGCAACAGCGTTGGGGCCCTTCCACATCTGTGGGTGTCGTGAAGCACCGATCGACTCGATCTCGGTCTTGGGTCTCTCCATTCATCACCGGATCCAGACGTGGATCCTGGTTGGGCTGGGCCAGCAGACGTGGATCAGTTGGGCGTTGTTCTCGGTCTGCCCGAGAACGGATTCCGCGTGTCTTCGCTCCGCATGCGTGCTTTCCGTTGTTTGATTTGAGGCGGTTGAGGTTTCCGCTCTACTCTGAGGCATCATCGCCTACTCTGGAGGCCATACCCCGGGGCCGCACGTCTTCCCGCGCAGCAGGTGGGCACCCAAGAACGAGACGGGATGTCTTTGTGGGGCTTTTTGATGGAAGCAGCGAAAAAAACCCGGATCCTTCCTCCAATGGAGCGCACCATTTCTGCCGAACTGGGCAGATAGAGCTTGGCACCGTTGGAAGATCCAGGTCGAACTCAGCGAGGAAAACCACCGGTCCGACGTCTGGATAATCGGATGATCAGTGGCTGCTCTGAGGTGGAACCGCGCGCATTCGGCGCTGCTCTGCACTCACAAGCAATTCGTGGAATGCTTCAACACCCGAGGTAGGACGAGGGGGACAAAGATGTGGGACGGGACCGAAGTTGGAGAGCTCGCTGAAAGCGGTTTTCCAGCCAGTCGTTTTGGTGGTTTCTAGATCCCTGGACGACTGATGTTGGCCTTTTCCGTCCAGTCCATCCTTTGGGCGGTGCTGGAAGGAGCTCTGTTTTGCTTGCCCAAAAGGCTCTGTGTTTCTGGCTGTGGGGAGTTTGTAAGTTCTATTCAGTGACCGAAGGGTTACAGAGGCTTGCATCAGGACTAACAACAGTAGTTGGGATGGGGATCCATCCCGAGAGTCAATCTACTATGTTTGCACCCACCCCACCCTAAAGGAAATGCAGCCAAGCAGTAGAGAGAGCAGCAAAACGTCATGCCCGTTTCGGGGGAGAGATCTTTCGTCAACCAAACACATGTGTTCGCCAGTGTTCGCCCTTGTCCATCCTTTTTTCCCAGCTGAGCGGCGTTGCCTGGTGAAAAAGGCCTTCAGTAGGAACCGACCAACTCCCCTGGCGCCCGGAGCGGAACCCGCGGAACCCGCGCCTCTGGCCGCGGTCCTCTCCGAGCCTCGCAGCTTGACATGTGCACGGGGGGCCGCCCGGCTTCGCGCGCGCCTTTTCAGGTTCCAGCTGCGCGGCTGGCTGTGGCTTCGTGCCAGAGGTCGTGCCCCAGCGCGCACGAAGCGGAGAACGAAGAGGGGAGCTGGTGGGCGGGTGAGGGTCAGCCCAAGCGGGTGAAGATGACGGCAGATCGTTGCGTGAGGTCAATGAAGACCACAAGCACCGGAATGTTTACAACTTTTCCATCTCGTTGTTTGGGGCAGGAAGGCTGTTTCGACCTCAAGCACCACTTCACAGCATCATATGTTTTCCAAGGTCACCATATATAGATTCATTAAACACAATTCTTACACATTGAAAGAACCTTGGTGCACGCAGATGTAAGAATTGACAATTGACGATGAATGTTCCTTTTGTCCAGGGGCGTCTAAGGGGAGGTGTCGATGAACCACGCCCCCTTATGTCGATTAACCTCATCAGCTATCTAAAATGAGACACCCCTTCTACGCCTTAAGCCGCCTGGGCCGCCAGGGCGGGGGGTTGAGGAGCTGTTCCCTTTTACGGAGCTGAGCCAAAAACGGAGGTTGAGCCGTTCACTTCTTCTTTGGAACACAACGACTCGCTGGAAATTCGGGGTTTGAGGCTCGAATCCATGAAACATAGCGGTTTTCACCTACCATGCGGCGCATGCTTTTTGCTGGGGAACAACGGACCCACCTACCTCCGCACCACCGACCTCCGACCTCCAAACCGTTCGCGACGGACCGAGGACATGCAACCCCAGTTCCTGGTGGCCAATGTGTTCAAGGCTCGAGCCGCTGTTCCTTGGTGTGAAGGCTCCAGAGATGGGAGGGCTTCAGACCGGGGGACCGGACAGAGCCTGTAGAGGATGGAGGACTCCGAGGACGTCTTGGGAGTTGCTGAGATTCCATGAAGGTGCCGGTGATGGCTTGTTTGCTTGTTTGGTAGGGGCATGTTTGGAAGCTTAGAAGTAGTGCAAGGCATCTTGGCATATGTTTGCTTACCTAATACTTGCGAGCCTGCATGCCTGCCTGTTGTCCCTCATGATCCCTATTTAGATCACTGACCTGGTTGGCCTCATGTCGGACGGATTCCGGACTCACAGGACCCAGTTCTTGATGTTGTCGACCTCTACATACCAGCGGTCCTCAGAACAACACGATGAAACGTCCAGGTTTTCACACACCAAAACCAAGGGTCCAGGTTTTGGATGCTTTGTGGGACCCCCTGGTAGACCAAACCCTCCATCTCCAACCCAACATGCTCACCTCCATGCCCCACGCTCCGCCACCATCGATCCTTCTCTGCTTCCCCTCGGTCCCCAGAACTTTTGGACCCCCCCAAGAGCCTGGAGCTCGAGCTCCCGCGTCGAGAGGGAACGCTCCGTTGGGACGCCCGGTCCACACCCGGTGCGAGGCTGGCCGGATCGGAGGGCTTCGTCTTCGTGTTTGGTGCGAGACGTCTCTGGCAAGCCGAGGCGAAGAATCCGGACTACATCCTCAACGTGGGCGACAACTTCTACTGGGGTGGCATCGAAGTGGACTGTGGCAGCACACCCATGAGCCAGATCAGCGGCACGGCGAGCACCTTGGTTGGAACCAGCGCGCCCACGGGAAGCGCACGGCCCGGGCACGGTCCGCAGGTGAAGGCGCCAACATGGCTGGGTGAAAGGGGGATCGTTTGGTGTCCACTTCAGGGAACAGTCTTCCTGCACCGCCCAAGACACACATGTTCCATCATGTTGACCTCCACCCCTTCCTTTGCTCCCCTTAGTGCACAGTCTTTCCACCGCGCGCCCCGTACGAAGCGAAGGAATCCTCCCGCGACCGGGTGCGACCGCGACTTGGGGCCGACGTGGGTGGTCGGTGCCCGCAGTGCGACCCGGTGCGACCCGGTGCGGCCGGGCCAAGGACATCAGTTCGACAACATCTTTGAAGGCATCTACCAGGGCCCAGGCGCGTCGCGTGCGGGACAAGCGGTGTTGCCTGCCGGTGTTGCCGGTGGTGGATCCGATTGGGAGATGCGGAGAAGGCGGTGGATCGATGCACGTCTTTTGGTTCTCAGAGCCGCGTGTGGTGCACACATGGCCATGTGCAGTTTGAAGCCTACGTGTCTCGGACGCAACCCCGACCGAAGCACGTTGCACAGTAGGACCCACGTGCGGTGCTTGTGGGTGTACTCGGTGGCGACGCGACGCCCCTGCAGCACAGGAGAATTCTTCTTGATGTTCTACCTGACAAAGAAAACTGATATACACCATCTAAGTTCTGGAAATGTTTACCTTCAACGCAAAAAGCTTTTTCTCGCAGGAAGTCCGGCCCTTCGAGAGCGGCCGCGGGATCCGGCGCGCCCCGCCGCCAGCAAGGCGGCGATCCTGCTGTCCAGCGCCGCGGAATGCAACGCCGGCCAGCACTGCAGCGTTTACCTGCAGCTAGCCCAATAACACAGAGACGGTGCTGAGGACAGACCCGTTTCCGATGAGGTCGCCATATATGCCCATTGCCGGTGCACAATACCTTCATTGATAACAGCCGGCACGCTTACCTCAGCGGGCTCGCTGCCAGCGTCGGGTGGGAGGTCCCTCCTGACTTCCCGCTGCCTGCGCCGCCGGCCCGGGACACACAGCCACAAATCGAAAGTGCGCGATTGCCGAGCATTCGAATCGATCGGGTCACATATACGAGCAGAGCACCAATTTGCCACGCGCAAGCACACCTGCAAAGCGCCCGCCTGCCCCTTCAAAGCTACTTGCTGCGAAGGTGGCAGGCGCTGCCAGCGAATCCGCGACGCCGCAGCGGGCGCCGAGATCCCTGAGTTGCAAGAGGACTTCATCGGTCCTCTGCAACCGTGGATCCTGCATGGCGCCGAAGTGCTGGCAGCAGCGTCAGGCCGGGCGGTAACAAGAAATCCAAACTCGATCAAAGCATCCAAAACTGATGATAACCCTTGCTACAGGACCAATAAAATTCAGGAGCTAGGGGCAACTTTCCCCATAAGAACTTGAACCTATGAACTTTTTTGAGTTTGAGGGCCCGGCAACAATCTTAACTTCAAGGCTTAAGAGCTTGGTTTGACAAATTCATGATGTGCCAGAGATGGCACATCAGATAATTGTTTATGAGGTGGCCCTGGTAACTTAATTAAACCATACTACAGTCGCTTATGATAGAGGATATTAGTTGGTATGCTTGCCTTAGACGTAAGACCATAGGAATCCCCGAGGTCCTTATGGTAGAAATTTCCTGGCCACAATCATGGCTACTATGGCCTCGCACGGCCTGTCACCGGTTTGCTGTTGGTGAGGTTGGATCCCTGGTGGCTTTAGGTTGCGGCGGGGGTAGGTGGGTTGTGGTTCTTGAAATTTCGGGCGCTGGGTTTTTGGTGTCCACCTGGATTAAATCCAAAAGGCAATGCTCTAAACTAGCGAACTTTATTTTGGCGGCCCCACGCTCATGTTGTCAAAGAGGTAGGCCCAGAGTACTTTATTCCCCAAACAATGTGGACACACTAGGAGTTCTTACGGTAAGTGTAAAGGGCCGGTGCCTAATCGATCCTTGCTTCTTGCGAGGAGGCTCCTCATAGGGGCTTTTGACACCAATTTAAATCCAGTTCACTGAAGAAGTTGCTATTACGGCCTCCCGAAATCCCCGAAGTGCATTTCGATTGCGCAGGCTCTCTGGTCGGGCGCGGTGGGTTCTTGTCGTGACTGCGCTCTCGTTGTGGTACCGTGCGCGTTTTCGGACATGGTGGTCACTTTTCGTGGCAGGCGCAAGGGAAAACTTGTGTTTTGGTGGTGCAAAGTCGACTTTTCGTGACAGATGCAAGGGATCAGGTTTTACTTCGACATGCAGATTTCATGGCAGGTGCAGCACTTTGGATATGGTGGTGATCTTCGAGGCGCTCTGATTTCGTGACAGGTGCAGTGAGTCGTGACTTTTTGACATGTGGCTCGTTTGTAGATTTCGTGGCAGGTGCAGTACTTTGTGGACCTTGAAGTGCAGATTTTGCGGCAGGCGCAGCACTTTGTGAACCTCGAAGTGCAGATTTCTTGGCAGGTGGTGCAGCGCTTTGTGAACCTTCACTCTCACTCTCGCACTCTCACTCACACTCACACTCACACACACCTCTCACTCTCACCCTCACGCTCACACACACTCTCTCTCTCTCTCTCACTCTCACTCTCACTCTCACTCTCACTCACTCTCACTCTCACTCTCACTCTCACTCTCACTCACTCACTCACTCACTCTCTCTCTCTCTCTCACTCTCTTCTCATTCTTGCCCGCGCTGCAGGACGAGATCGATGATGCCGGTCGGCTGCTGCGCGCAGAAAGGGGCGAAGTCGCGTGAATGTAATGGCCATTGACCGCCATCAGTCCATTTGGTTTTCCATTGATCCCATCCCTATCTAATTTTTTCAGGGGTGTGATGTGAGGTCTTGAACAACTAAGGCAGAATAATCTTCTTTGGAATGTTTTTGATCATTCCAGGGCATGGGTCTACATGATCCCAGTTCAAAAGCTTGGAAGTTTAAGGTTTCTTATTCCAGCGGTAGCTGATTGGTATTACATGCCGTGCAGGACGCACTCACACAGTGTTTGAATCAGTTTGAAAGCGTGTTGAAATATGTTGAACATGTGTAGATCAATGGAAGTGATTTGAAGCCTGTTGGGAACACGATTCAAGTACGATGGTTTTTAGTACCATCATGTCCTCTTGGGGATGTATTGCAATGATTTCAAGGGCCCCTGGCATCTTAATAAGTGGCAGAAAAACTCCCAGCCCCACCAAGATCCACCTAAATCCAAAGAAGGTGAACGAAGAAAGCAGCTTACATCTGCGCCGATGAGGGTTGCCAACCAGGCTTAGTCTTTGCATCAAGGAGACCTCCTTTTTGGTTCCTGGAATTAAATTCCTTTTCGAATGATGCCGGTGAAGCCATGGAGGTGATGATGGGCAACGCTCCGCATGCGCAGTCGAGCTCCTCTAGAGGAGGCAACCTTCCTGGCTTTAAGATGTTGGGAGGTGCAGGCCACGGAGGTGGAGGCAATGGAGGCGGAGGCGGCAAACAAGCTTCTCAGGAGCAGGAGTCTCAGCAGACGCCACCTGGCCGTTTGCCCACCCATTCGCCTCCTTCAGCCACGGCAAAGGCGGCTGAGCATCCTTCAGGTCCATCAGCGCCAGCGAAGGCTGAAGCTCCTGCAGGGAGGGCTGCGAAGATAGATGACTGCATGGACGTGCCTGCAGCGGAAAAGGCTGCTGAAGCTGACGCTGAAGAGTTTCTGAAGGCACGACAGAAGCGGGAGTCCACGAAGGCCAAAGAGCCCAAGCCCAAGGTCCTGAAAAGGCCAGCAGCCATCTCAGATGGCAATGTGAAGGAGTGGAGGTCCAAGCACCACAAGCAGGTGATTCCAAGGTCTGGTGTGGTAGGTGGTATTATCAGGCAACGTCGATATTATATCACCCAAGCCGCATCAAGCATTTGTTGAGCAAAAAAGCTTTGGTGGCTGCAGGGGCGTCTTCCTCTGCAAGAAGATGAGGAGGTGAGAAGAAGGGCCTACCGAACGGGAAACGCAATTAGGCGAAACAGCTTGTGCCACTTCAAATGCTAGGTGGAGCCACCGGCAGATCACAGAGGCCACCGCTAACTCTTGGTGAGAATTAGGACATAAATTGGATGCGGCCTGTGAGGCAGAGACGAGGCCACGTAAGACAGAAGGCTTCTTGAAGGAGGCGCGACTCAACTTACGCACAACGCGAGCAACGCCAAGAACCCCAACATTCGACGCCCATCCATTTGCAGGTGGCAGCAACAAAAAGAAAGTCAGACTGGCATAAACTAAAACGCGATTATTATTACCATCCACGTGTTCATTTGCCGGGTGGTGTCGACCGAAGAGGGCGCAAAAATGTCAGGCTTTCTTTTGAGCTTAGAAGTTGAGAAAACAGTCGACCTGGCAGGTGAAGCTGGAGCGGAGCAAAGCAGATCGCGCCGCAAAAACGGTTGTTTGCAATTTTGAACTATATATATCTATAAGGGACATTTTTTGTTTTGCATTCCAAGAATGTCCATGTACCAATTAATTAATATCAGCCACTGATGAAGTATCTACAAATTCCACAAAAAGTCGGATTGACGCACGAGCGATTCGCGTGCAAACGCAAAAAATTTAGCGGCAAGGCGTTTCTTGCCAAAAAAATATAGATAAAACGAATCAAGAAAAACTGTCGATATGTATGGGCGTGATCGCTTTCCTCAAGTATAAAAAGCGTTCTTGTGCGCGCGTTGAAATTAGGTGCCAGATTCGCTATCGCCCGTGCGCTGGCCTTGAGCGAGGTGCCCACAGGGTGTTGCAGCTATCAATGGCATTTTGCGATCGTGAGTGAATAGCCAACAGCGTTTCTTTATTGGTATTCTTTTTTGGGGGTTTTATGTGTTGTAGATGTTGTAGAAATGCTTCTGGCGGACCGGTCCACACTATGTCTCCCCCTTCTACACAAAAGCACTTCAAACCGTGAACACCCTCTGTGCGAAGACGCGAGCGAGCGCCCGAAGGGGGCGGCGAGCGCCCGAAGGGGTCGGCGAGCGTCGAGCGCGTGAGTTACACCATCGTAGACCTAAAACGGCTGACCGACGGAAATCTGCGTCTTCATAAAAATTACAATGGCACCACCGAAAGGTGGAAACAGGTGGAAACGGAAATAGGAGGCAACAAGGGCCAGGTTTCGGAAGGCGCAGGTGTCTCCACCATTTGGAGTTAATTCAAGAGTTTTCCAAAATTATTGTGAAACATATTTTTTTTCACGGTTTTGTTGCGTGTTGACTGTATAAATCAAGTTTTTAACACTAGAGCATGCATTTTCACGGGCGACCGTTCGCGACCGACTCTGTGAAATGGCTGCGAACATCACTATGGCGATTGCCTGCGTGAGCAAACATGTATGGAAAATGTTTTTTGATGCGCTCGGCTCGTAGACGCCCGACCCTGGAAAAAAGATATGAAATAGAAAATTTGACCTGGCTTTGTCGTCACAACGCATTCAATCACTGGTGGGCCAGAAACCCTCCATTGACTACGGAAATCAACTACCGGTTTCTTACGCGGTCTGGACGAATGGACGAAGGCTTTCAGCATCGCCGGATCAATGGACGCGTCGCGGAATGGCAGTCGAAGCAGATCGCAGTGAGCAATTTGGGGAACATTCAGTGGCCAATAGAATTTTGGGAGTCCAATACTGCTTGTAAAATGGTTGACGTGGCTTTGTAGTGTAACACCCTTAGTAAAATACCGGTTCGGTAAAGACTCAAGGAATGATGGTCCTCACAAATTCCCAAAACAATGTCCTTGGACCCTCTTCCACCACTGCTGGAGGTCTTTGGCATCCAAAGGGATGGGTCTTCCGTCGATCCTTCCTGTCACTTCGTGTGAGGCTTGAGCAACAAGCCGTGGCTCAGTGTTCTCGGGAACCACGACTGGGGAGGCACGACTTGTTCGGCAACGTGGATGCGGGGACGTGGATGCGGCGACCCGCTGGCGACTGTTCGAACGGATTCAACGCCTCCGGGCGTCATTGGTTTTGCTTGAGGGTTCCCCATGAAATTCTTTCAAGTTTTGGTGAAATGAGCCTCTTTGGGCAGAGGGTATTGTAGTAGTAAGTAGTAGTAGTAGTAGTAGTAGTAGTAGTAGCAGTAGTAGTAGTAGTAGTATTAGTAGTAGTAGTAGTAGTCGTAGTCGTAGTCGTAGTGGTAGTGGTAGTGGTAGTGGTAGTGGTAGTAGTAGCAGTAGCAGTAGCAGTAGCAGTAGCAGTAGGAGTAGTAGTAGTAGTAGTAGTCGTAGTAGTAGTAGTAGTAGTAGTAGTAGTAGTAGTAGGAGTAGTAGTAGTAGCAGAAGTGGTTCTTGTATCAGTATTATTAGTGCAGTATTAGTATATAGTAATGCACATCAATGAAAAAGGACTGATATGATCAAATAGGCGTGATGTGATCCGTCAACGGCCATGCAAGCGAGGATGAAGATGCAGCATCAGCAGTTCGCGTTGATGGTCTGAGTGTACTGCCGATGTTGAGGTGGCACCAGAGATGATTATGATGGTTTGCTCATGTTTGCTCTTGGTGGCACCCCAAATGACGTTCTGATTCCAAAGATGAGATGCTGATGGCCAGCATGGTGAATTGTTGAGAATAAAGCACGAGGCAGCAGCAAACAATATCTGTATATATATATAGATACGTATATATTGTATTTATAGTATTATATACACATGACTGTGGTCATTCTCCCCAAACCTCCCTCATGCGAACTTGTGAATAGGAAAATCATCTTGACCCAAGGATACACTCTCTTAAAACTGTTATTGCAAATGGTAAGTGTCCTTATCCCTATGGACTCTATTTTTTGCCGAGTTTGCCGGAAAGTGATGTGACCCGGCCAACATATTCCGAACATAAAGGAGGAAGGGACCGGGTGATTTCCGCTGAAAGATATTTCAAGACTCCAAGAGTGACTGCTGCCCTGGAAGACAGTTTTTTGGATTTTTCCATCAGACCACCTGGGCCTGTTCACGTTTCACGTTTTGTGGGCGACCTGAGAGTCATGTCTTCCTCGCTGCGATCCTTCAGCACTGCCGGGGCCGAAAACACCTTCGCATCGGTGAAAGACACCGTCTCCGTTGAAAACGCAGCAGGCCGCCAGTTCTACAACGGCTGGGCGCCTTCGGCCTTCGGTGTAACGGTGTTAAGGGAATCTCAAAACGGGTGGGTCGGGTTTTCCGAAGTGGCAAGACGAAAGCAGGGGACGAGGGAAGGTTTGCCCTCACCAGAGAGTCCAAACTGGCCACCACTCAGTCGCACCAGTCGCACCAGTCAGTAGAGTCATTGGTCCCACTGTCGTCACAATCATCATTATTATCATCATCATCATCATCATCATCATCGGTATTTTGTGTCCTCTCTTGCAGTCTTCTCAGGCCACCTTCTCGTCTAGTTGAGTTTGCTCTTTGAAAAAGGTCTGGTCGATTCCGGCGACCAAACGACGACCGGAAGCCGATGCGGCGACCTGAGGACCAGCAGATCGCTTACACCTGGGCCTCCAACCGTTGGAGGATGCCGGCCCCGTGCGACGGACGGAGGGACGGAGCGACGGACGGTGGAAGATCCACCGAGGTGTCTCTCTCCAACATGACCACCGATCCAGTCAGTCAGAGGTAGGGGGACCAGAAGATGATCTCCTCTTAGGCGTTTTGGGCATTGGACCTCCAAATCTTATATGATCAAGTTGTCAAATCACCCCGTTGGCAGTCCTCCCATAGAGACCGACCCAGGCCTTTTTCCATCAACCTCTCTATCCGAGATCGACAGAGTGGCGAAACGGTTTTACCCATCGAATCCACCACGATCTGGGCCCCCAAAAAGAAGGCCTGCCATCCCCCCGCCAAAAAAATGCCGAACAGGTACTGGAGCCAGCACGTGTCGTACCCGGACCTGGGCTTTACCGTTGACATCCTCATGCACGACAGCAATGCCATGGATGCCAAGGCCCATCATGAAAGTGGCGTGCATGGGTTGGGTCATGGGCCTCCGGCCAGGCGCTGACGACGCGCCCGGAGGCCATGTGGCCCAGTGATGTGTGGGCAAACTCCGCAAGACACCAGATTTCACCGTCGCTTGCCTGACGTGTGCAATGATCACTGCACAAAGTACTGGTAGAATTTTGTTCATCGATGTTTATCGATATCCATCTTTCCCACACGCAATGTGAAAGACACTTCAGGACAGTTCAGGACTCTGCATACGGTTTTTTTCCCCAACACTTTTTTCTTCCCCAACACTGAAAAGGAACGACAAGAGACATACACTCTGACTCACTAAGATGGAAGTGCGACGACCACCAGGTCGACCCAACTCTTTTGGTCCACGACCACCAGGGTTCCATTGCTCTCCAGGGCCCCCCCGCGCCATGCATCCTTGCATCTCCGTGCTCTACCCGTCCAGAACCCGGAAGAAGATCCTGAGCACAACATGTGCAGTCGGGGTCCTTAGAACACACAGGGACCAATCAGCTTGGAGCGCTTCAGGTCGGAGCTGTTTTGGGGGGTCCTGAGCTCGGGATGCTCGGGATGGGGAACACACTCCCCGCCGCTTAGCTCGGGATGGGCCTGAAGAAGCACATGTTCTTGGCATGGGGTTCTTGGAGTTCTCGCTGGAACCGTCCGACTTGGTGATGCTACTTGTCATAGATACATGTTACATGGTGAAGTTTGAAGGTGAAACAGAGTTTTGTTGGGATGCTTCGATAGTCAAATCCAGAAGAATCTACCTGGGTGGGCCTCCTTAAGGCTTAAGGGGTGTCCAATCCATAGCTCCGAAAAGAGGTGATTCGCGATGTCCATCCACCGGTCGCCTCTCCACCGCGGTGTCCCGGTCACAAGGCCGAAAGCACAACCGCCCCGATGCCAACTGCGCCAGCGCCGGTGGCCCGTCCTCAGTGGACAGCTGCAAGGCGCCCGGAGCGGAGACAGCGAGGTAGCAGACCGCGCGCGGAGGGATTGGGGAGTGGATCGAGACGGGGATGGAGGTGGTGTCCAGTCGACCGAGTCCGGTGACACGAAGGACTTTCCGGTTCGCTTGTTTGGTGCCTAAATCTACTCTGCCTGTTGTCACATCTCAATTTTACTGGAGTTGGTCATACAAACACACTACCCAAGGAGGTGAGTGAAAGACCCTTGGACCTGGGTCGGACGTACGTCGGGATCGTCTTTCACTGGTCTTGGTATTTCGGGGTATTTCGGCATAGGGAGGCCGACACCTAGGCGTTCCGACCCCCTGCGGAAGGTTCGGTTTGGTTCAGAACATAGACCAGCCATGGCCAGCCTAGCCATTCATGACACATACACGCCCAAATTGGAGTCTTTCACTCGTATTTGAGGGTGTTCTGTCACCTTCCGTCCACCTTCCGTGACACGTTCTTTTGGATTGGACCGACCAAGTGAGAACGCAAGTGTTCGAAGCCCATGGGGTCTGGCGATGCTTTGATTTGGGTGTGTTTTTTAATAAGGAGACCCACAGGCCCAATGGTTTTTGGTCTGTTTCCCAAACCGAACCCAGGGGGTTTACCTCGCCCGGGAGGTCTCCCTATGTAAAAATACACACCCAGTTTGGTTTATAGCAGAGATTAAAATGACCATCCTGCCCAGTAGGTTCCCTTTTCAGGAAGCTTTTTGTCCACGAGTCACATGCAGACATTGTGTTGCAAAGGAAGTGTCTGGCCGGTTTCTCTTCGGGCACCTTTCGCCAGTGGGGAGGGCGACAACCAACCAGGGTTTTGACAATTTGTATATTATTAGTATTATTGTTATGATATATATATATATATAATATAAACATTTTTTGTGTTTTGTTGACTTCGGTGAGGTCATGCAGTTCGAACTTAGTTGGTCCAGATGCATGTTTGAGGTCTAGGAGCTTTGGTCTCCCTTCAATGTCACGCATAGACTAGATTCTGTTTTCGAGCTGAGCGAGTGAGGTGAAGTAAATAGGTACCAGTGGGCGCCAGCATTGCTAGAATGCAACCAGACCAAAAGGTCCCAGAACAACCCGTTTTCCCATTGGATTCTTGAGGTTCCAAGCTGTCGAGTCAATCATTCTTATGTATCTCGAGCAGGTTCAAAGCCACTTATTCCAGGTCTCCAAGCCACGAGAGATTCGCCAGTAGTGTTCCGGTATGGGCCCAGCGGAAGTAGAGGAATTCCATTGTTTTGGGAGTGCCTCGGCCCAGGGCTGGTTCTGGGGCCTCTATGCCGAGCAAAAGCCTTGGGTAGAGACTTGGTCGGCTTCAGCCGAAGCCGTTGACGCAAAACATGTGGTCAAATCCGTAGACGCAACCTTTGACTGGTCCCGTCTGTCCCAAAAATGAGGAGACCCCTCCCCTGTTCTAAAAATTAAGGAGACCTGTCTTCTCCCCGTCAGACAGTCTGGGACACCTCTGGGGTGGAATTGCTCCGTCTGCCAGGCTTTCAGGGTCGGGACCGTCCGCACCCAGGGTCGGTTGGGGAGCACTGAGAGGGAGTCCCGGGACTGAAGAGGGTTAGGAAAAAAGGGAGCAGTGCTGGGATTTGGGGAGGCATATTGGATCTGTTGGGTCCGTCCTAGGCCACCTGTAACAGGAACGGTCAACAAGGAATCTGAGATGGATGTCGGCCTACAGGCCCCCATCATCATCCCATTGCCCGGGCCACTGGGCCCTGGTGCTGGGATTATTCCTCACATGCCTTGCGATGGGTTTGCACCCCATTGTGATCGCTAGCCATGACTCCAGATGTGATCGCCACCTGCTCTCTTCCATTGGGAAGGCACCGACCCAAAAGCCCGCCGAAGGGGCGGCACGAGGAAACCCCCCGCACCCGGAGGGTTCCTCTCAGCTCAGCTCAGCTGGTTCCGCCCAGATGTTCGTTCGGATCTCGCGAAGCGTCCCGCGATTCGTGCGTCCCGCGACGATCTCGGCGTCCGCCGTGCCCGAAACGGCGACCGCCGACGTCGGAGGTTCGCCACGAAGGCTTCGCAGAAACGGCGGACGTGCCTTTTTTTTTTGCTCCGAGGAGGGCAAGTTGGCCCACTCCAAAGCGGACTGGCAGATCATGGTGCCTTTGGCACAAAGCACGACTTGGGGTGCTTCTGGGTGCTAATGATTTGGTTGATGAAATGGAGAGGGAGGGATTAAAGTTAAATATGCCCATTCCGGGAATCTTCATTGTTTCAACTCAACTCGCTTCTCTTGGACGTTGGAAGTGGACCACTTCGGCCTCTCTTCCAGAGCCATGTTGCTGTTGCTCGAGGAATGGAGCTGGGCTCGACGGTTGGCCTTCGTGGCGTTGGTAGCTCGCAGCCTGTATATTGGAGTAGGTACCAATTAATATCGACTCAGTATTTGACCTCGCCAGTGACCCAAAAGTCCGTTGGATGGCTCGCCCGACTTCATTTGGAGAACTTAGTTTCAGACCTTTGTCCAAGACAATGCTGGTGATACATGCGACCTTGTCTTGAGTCAGTCGGCTTCCAAAAAGACCCCAAGGGGCTCCCGGGTGTCCTTGTTGACAGCTCACCGACGACGAAGATCACCGGTGACACGACGCTCACCGGGACGCACGGTTTTGTTTCGCCAAGGTGACCCATTTCCCCTGCGGCCACGACTCTGGGTGGGGCATGGGGCTGGAGCTGTTGGGCCATGTTGGGTGTCTTGTGAGTGGTTTTTCCGTGGGGTGGCCGAGTGGACATCAAAGGCTTTGGACACCCTGAAGCGAGACGTGGCTTCTTCAGAGTGGGCGCCCGTGCTGCTTTGGTTGGGATCAAAAGCACGGCTGAAACCGGGGCTTTTGTTTCAAACAGTTTACAACTTGTCCACTTTTTAGCCTTCAAAGCCCACTAAAAGCCTGGTTTAGTACGTGCAACAATTCTTAGTATAGAACAATGGTTGTCCGGGATTTAAGCGTTCCATGCTGCTTCAACTCCTATAGGGTTGACCATCAAAGGCCGATCTGAACACATCAGGGTTCAGATCGGGTTCGCCAGCTCATCTCCCCTTCTCTCCAATACATTGGGCTCCAACGAACGGGGGCTGAAGGGGCATGTTTCGATGTCATGTTGCCCCCGAACCCTCCAAACCGACCCAACGCCCCGCAGGGACGTCCTTCGCCGTCCTTCGCCCGACGGCTCGTACCGCCGTGCTGGGACGGCCGTGGCCGTGCTTGGCAGATGTCGCAGGTGGTACCGCTCCCTCCACACACGCCTGGGCTTGGATTTGCTGGTCACCGGACACCGCCACGATCAGGACGGGCGGTGTAGTATAGTCAGTGCGGTGGCCGACGGAAGGCGATTGGAGATTGGCTTCGGAGAAGGGCGAGACTCGAGAAGTGTTTGGTTCAGAAACACCTCATCAGCTGTGAACATCACCGGAGCTGCAGGCCGCGCAGCCTTGGCGAATTCGCTGGTCCACCGAATGTCCCACGTATTCTCCCACGTTTTGGCGGGAGGAGTTGGGCTCCAACTGGGGTGCTCTCGGTGGTATGATGTGTGGCTTGGCTTCAAGGTGAGAAACGACCTGATGGCTGAAACGACCTGATGTGGTGAAACCCGGCGTTCCGACCCTTGGTTCGGCGGGGTCTCTCCATTAAAAGACACACCCATGCATGTATACCAGCACCGACTTCACATGCTGAGCCCACCTTGCATTCAGGTAGAATGTACTCTTATATTGGATCAATAAAACCCCCCGGGCGCCAGATGTAAACCAATAAAACCATTCTGGAGATGGAGGGGTCAAAATATTGGTTTACATCTGGCGCCCGGGGGGTTTTATTGATCCAATATAGGAGTACATTCTACCTGAACGCAAGGTGGGCTCAGCATGTTTATCTCGGCACTGCGGCGAGTTCTGTGCTGGTGTGAGAACTTTTGAGAGATGGAACCATCACAATGAGTCACGAAGCGAACCACACGATTCCAGTGTGGAAGGCCCGACACTGAGCTTTCTGTTTGGTGCACCGCTTTTTTGGGGGGACCACTCCATGTACTGAATTGGTTCCTCCGCCGCCACGGCG